TGGATTTGGCTGTCCCAGGGTGTAAGATAACTTTGGATTTGGCTGTCCCGGGGTGAGATAACTCCTGTCCACCAACTGATAGCAATTCCTGGGGAGGGACTCTGCTATGAGCCCTTAGCAGACAGCAGTCCTGGCAGCTAAAGGCATGAGTGCTTGAGTCTTGACAAGAATCAAGTGGTGTGCCACAGCATCCACTATAGTGACCTAAAAGCCATGGGAATGGGGATGGGATGAGGACCAGGGAAAAGTGAGCTGCTCTGAATTCTGGGCAGGAGAGAACTGGCAGGAAGAGAGACTGAAGACTCAACCAAGACAGATGGGCCAGAGGGTTAGAGCTTGAATGCCAGGACGAGGACATAATGTTTCATCCCACACCCGCAAAGGAGAGCAGTCAAAAGTTTTGAGCAAGATTCTTTGGGAGCTGTAAGTTGACTGTGCAGCCGCAAAGGGGTCTTAATTTTCAAAGTATCCCTTTGGCTGCCTCTCCCGCACACTCCTCTTAACTGGCTGGCTCTGGCCAACACACACACACACACACACACACACACACACACACACACACACACACTGCCCCCCTCCCTTAAATCGGCTCCCTTCAAATTGTCACTCCCCACAGTGCTGCATTCATGCGTCAGTTCTAAATAGTCCCACTGTTCGGCGTTAACGAGAAGTAATACCAATTCCCATGTTTGCTCAGAGAGCACCATATTTCATCAAACCAGAGCCCATGCCGGCTCAGATTACTGACTGAGACAATGTTCTGTAATCCTGGTTTATTCACATGTCACGGGTATTTTAGCAAAACAGAAATGAATGGCCCACGCCACCCTAGGAAGTAACGGGAGAGTTGGGTTCCTGCCCAGGGAAGTCATGCTTTCGCTCGCCACAGTTCTCAGAGGAGCTGACTTTGATTTTCTGAGTTTTCCCCAACTTTAAGAAAGAGAATATGGGTTGAGGAGGAGTCACAAAGTGGGTAGTTATTTCTCTATAAAATGTTAACTCCACGGATGAATTTTGCCAGAGCAAAAATAAAATCTGTCATTGATTATAAAGTCCTTTGTGCTTGTTATTTCACAGATTTATTACGCTCTGGCCCGGCGGCCTGGGGAGGCCCTGGGGTTCCTGTCTCTAGCGCCCCACAGCTCATGCCCGTAACGGGAACAGGGATTCACTTGCATTTCTTTTGTGTTTAAGGGCCAACAGCTTTGAAAATCTAGATGAAGAGCTGGGAATCATCCTCCCAGTCTTTGGACAGGGACCCACAGACACAGACAACAGTTTCTTGGTAGAGGTCTATGACTTCCTCATCAAGGAAACATTCCCTTTCCTTTTCTTTTTTTTTTCTTTCAGTTGTTGGCACTGTGTGCTAAGAAATGTATTTCCTTTTCAAAGCAAGGAACAGCCAGGCTTGAACCACTCACCAAATCTTCTGGAATCTGAGTCTACTTTAAATGTGTACAACTTCTTTCAAACACACCATAAATAAAAAGAGCAGTCACAATGATCGATGCAATTTAGTATTGTCTTACTTTAAAACCTTACCAATAATCCTCACAATATCCTGTTCTTGTCAACATCTGAGAGTTAAAGAAACCAAGGTTCAGAGAAGGCAAGTAACTTGCTTAAGGTCACACTGCTAAGTAGTGAAATAGGGACATGAACCTAGTCCCAATTTACTCCACAGAGTCATGTGACCCCTCTCTCTTCTCAGAACAGGCTGACACAAGGACACAAACCCAGGAGTAGCATGGGAGCAGCAGCAGAGACTGGGCGTCAGCCTTCTCATTTAGGTGAGAAGCTCCCAGGATTCGAAAAAGGCAATCGGACAGTCCTAGGGTTGCAGAGCTAGTAGAGTCACAAATTGGGTCTGCCACAAATTAACTTTACAATATCATGAAACAATTGCTTGGGAAAATTTCACTTGGTATTTATTTGGGGAGAGGTTCTTGTTGAAACCAAATGAGAAAGCTTTTCAGAAATACCCAGGGTTTGCTTTACTTCCTTACTTGGAAGTCTCCTTACTCTTTGAGCTTCAAAACTGCTGAGCCTCTTTACTACTTGCTCACAATTTTCTGTACTGAAGTAAACCCTGCTACCCCAAAGTATGCGGCAGAGAGGTCTGGAAGACTGAGAGCCTCAAAACCAGCTCTTACCTCTCTGAAGAGAGCACTCCCCACCCCATTTGGTAAGTCCAAGGCCTCAGTACCCCTGGTAATCACAGTGTACAAAACTCCCAGGACAAGGGTAATTTTGTAGGAAGCTGTCAGAAAGCATAGATCTGAGGACTTGTAGCCACAATCTGCCATCTCAACTCTTATTTTGAGCTGCGGCCTGAGCTATTAAAAACAAAACATTCTCATTGGCAAGCTCCACAATTAGCCTCATTTCCACGCTAGAAACACTGTTCTGCATGAGCTGAAATTGCACAGAGATTGTTTCTTGTCTTAGCGATGCTGTTTCGAGGACTGTGCTCAGAGTCAGCGAGGATGTGACCCAGTGGTAATCTGAATTGCTTCACCAAACACATTTTTATCCCATCATCTCGGCTACATGAAAGGGGGCCACAGTGCTCGTGTTCAAGACTTTACAGTCCCGCTGTTCAGCAATAAAATGAGGCAAGAAATATTAGCCGTCCCTGGCTGATGCCTTAATTCTTCCCCAACAATGTCAGAGAATCTGTACCCTACAGGTTTTAGTGCCGGCTAAAGCCTGACCCTGGGGCTGGCTTGAATGGAGCGGGAATGAGTTAAGGAGAGCGAGAAGGCTTTAATGGACACAGATCCAGAATAGCCCAGCTTGTGCAGGCCTCCTGCGGACTCACCCTCCTTTTCACAGGCCTCGATTGTGTATGGCCCCAGCAGAGACAAAACTACCCATGAGCAGAGGTTACCCCCAGCCGGTGCAGGTCAGAGGCATTCTGGGGGAGAAGGGGAGAGGGGGGCAGAGGGGAAGTAAGGGGCACATGGAGAAGGAGAGAAGTGGGGGTGGGGGTGGGGGAAGGGACTAGTAAAAGATGGCCCGGATCATTTATAAGGAGAGATTCAAGTCCTAGGCTACCACTTGATCATCTCACCTCCAAGCACACCATTTTTGAAAACCAATTCAAGAACAAATGGGAGCTATCCTAATGGGAAGGTAAATGTAATGTGAGCTAGTTTTCAAAATAAATAAAATGCTTCTCTATGGTGTTCCAAATGCTACAAGCCTGTGGTTGAGAGGCTTTTAATAGGATGGCCTCTAATTTGACACTGCGAAATTTTTTTAAAAATTACAAATGGGTTGTGTTTTGCACACCAACAGAAGCTTTTTCCAGCAATTTTTCAATTATTGCATTGTGAGCCCTCCAAGAAAAGTAACTATTTTGGCTCATAGAGCCCAAAGTTACCAAGTTAAGGGAACAACTTGTTCACGAGTTTGCAAATAGTCCTTTGAAATGTAGCATAGACAGTACCCTAGAGCTTTCTGGAAGAACATGGGTTTGAATAGGTCTTTTCCTTCCCTCCCAAGGATTCTTAAACTTTTTAGGTGGGTCTTTGACCCCTTTTGCAGTCTGGTGAAGCCTGAATAATGTTTTTAAATGTATAAAATAAAATATTAAGGACTACAAAGGAAGCCAATTACATCAAAATATAGTTACCAAAATATTTTTTTAAAATAGCTTTGTGGCATAGTAACATATGTTCTTTTTTATTAATTCATTAACTAACAAGGAGCCTAACAATTGCTATAATTTTAAAGTAGTGATGAGCAAACATGACCGAAACATCTGTGACCACCAGCATACAATATGAAAATATCTGTGGATGGTGCCCACTGGTGACAATGTCGCTAATACCACTGTGGTTGGTTGCCGGCATTTATTATATTGGGTAATGCTGAGCTTCAGTTAGAGCCAGTGAAAATAAAGATGCATTTCCCCCATCAAGTTCACAGTGCCCTGAATTCTATCCACGGCTAAGAAATTCTGCTAGAGGTGACAAAGTTCAGGACCTTCTGCCCCAGGGTTAAGCTGAGGGGCAATGGGCCAGGAACTTGCTGCACCCTCACTTCACTAGGAACCGCTCTTGGGAAAGCCACTGCTTTCTCTCCCTGCTCTGATGCTTTGGAAATGTTTTGAAAAGCAAATTGAAAGCATGTCCTTTTCCGTGCAGTCCTAAAGGCTACATGTCCAAAGATTAATAAGGACCTTAGATGTGTTTCTTCAACAACTAGAATCATTGTTGCCAAATAAAGGGGCGGTTGATCAGCTAATTCTGAGTTTTAATCAGGATCTGGTTCCCGTTGCCTTGTTTTGATTGAGCTTTGGGGGTGAGGGCTATTCTTTTCAGAATCTGTCTGGAGGGAGGGTCGAGTCCCTTCTCCCCACACTCTTGCATGTTGGACACACTGGCTCAGAGGCAACCGGGCGCACATACATGCCCTCTCCGAACCTCATAGGGGAGCTGTCATCTTGCAACCGCACAACCATCGCATGCCTTTGCAGGGGCAACCCAGCAGGCAGGCCCCCCTCCAACTGCTGCCCAGCCCCCTCGCAGCCCAGACCAGGCTGCGGCGCCGACACACAGGAGCCGGACGCGGGGCTGGGTCTCCGGCTCTCCGCGGGGGAGCGGAGAGCGTGCTCGCCCACGCCCACGCCCACGCCCACGCTCCTCACACTCGCCGGCGCACACTCGGGCGCACACCCCGGCGCGCGCACGCCGGCACACACGGGCGCACGCACA